ACTGCTGTATAAAGAGGGGAAGTGGGAGTTATGCTTTATCAGTAGTATAAATAGTACACTCACATATGGTGATTTTTTTCAATCAGATGGTATCTCTCTCAGTAAACAGAGGTGCCTTTTGCGGTCCATTAGGATCTACTTCATAAATCTTAACTACTTGAGTTTCCAGCGTGTGTTTTTAGAGCTAAGTTGTACAGGGAGAGTCTGTAGATGTTAGAGCAAAAGCTACATGTCTGATGCCTGTCACAACAGCAAGAGAGAAAGGTGAGGATAGAATGGAGGTGAGGATAATTTAAATCTTTTACAGATGGAACGAAGTAATAGTTGATTCAAGTTTCAGGAGCTTTCAGTGTACTGATACCGTTTCCCCAATGTTGGCCTCACCTGTAATGTTATAGATGGTGAAAAGCTAGATTCTTAAGCGAGACCCTCAGTACCAGTTCTCATTTTGTGTGTGGGTGTTTTACTTTCATTTCCTCATTTTCAGAACACGTCAGTAATTCTCTGTCACCTGTCAGCTTAGGGTCAGCGTTTAAATGTATAATCAGCACATCACTCAGGCCTATCTTACTATTGTTATTATTGATCATGAGATGTGTAGCTGTGAGAAGCAGGGTCTACATACGGGGTTGGGTGGTGGTACAGAGAAGGGGTGGTAGGCTCTGAGGATGTTAGGGAAGGAAGAGTTCCTAGAGGAGACAAGAAAGAAGAGCTGGGCTGGGCGGGGTATTCTGGGAAAAGGAAGTAGCTGCTGTGAAGTCCTAGGGGACTGGTAGGGCCTGTACTAATGTGTGGCTAAGGCTGAAGAGAAAAGGGGTCTGTGGCGGAGGGTGGGGGGAGGTAGTTAAATCACAGAGAACTTTGTTAACCACACAGGGAAAACTGGGGCTTTATATTTACCTTTGAATTGATAATAAAATGAATATTTAAAACATGTTATAAACGATAAGCCCCTTCAGGAGAGCCAGTCTGTTTTCTTTGTACCTCTGACTCTTCACTGTACCTGGCAGAGTATGCATTCAATATAATAAAAACACACAGCATTTCCTGAAACAAATTTTAACAGTTTAGTGGGTTGGTCCCCAAAGCTATGATGCACTGGGTCCCAAGACTCTTGAGGACTGGCATTGAGACATTTGAGATGGCAAGGGAGGGCCCCACTCCCTTGGTGAAAAATGGGTCAAAGAGAGCAGGAACTTACTGTGAACCTTTATTTTGAAGTCCCTTTATTTTTATAAGTGATTTGTTTTTAATGATCTATTTTCCTTCCAAGAAAGCTTATTTCTTAAGGGCTCTAGGATTTTTTTTTTTCTTTTCTTTTTTTTGCTCAGTGGTTTCAGATTACGTTTCACAAATAAAGGGACATTTTATTTATAATTATTATGAATGAATGAAAATAAAATATTTTTGCATTGTTTTCTTGTACAACATTCTTAAGATATGTAAGGCATTATACGAGATTGTTAAAAATGAGTTTTGTCAGTGCTGGTGGATTTTGATTGAATTTTTTATTTCACACTCAATTTCTAATACTAGAAATGGTTGTTGGGAAGTGGCCTCCAGTGCACTGTGACAGCACGCTTGGTACATGGTGCTTGACCAGGAGTTTAGCAGAGCACTGAACTGTGTTTCCCTTTTCCTCTGCATCTTTTATTCTTAGCCTTTATCATTAACACACAGTTTCTGCATTCTACAAGAGAGGAAAGAAGAACCTGACCAGGTGTAAAGTCTTACCAATTACGGAACCGGGATAGAACCTGTACTGTTCCTATCCCCTGTCCCAGCCTGTTGCTCTTTAACCCCTGACCCCGGTCCTAGCCTGTTGCTCTTTAACCCCTGACCCCTTGGGATCTCAGGGAAGATCATGGGTCCATTCATATGTGGCCAGGATCTTCTCCAGGTGAAATTCTTGTGAGTGTATTTAGTAAAAATGGAATGATTTCATCTTAAATGGATTGAGAACTCGTTACAGTCAGAGCTCATTACTTTAGATGTACCGCCATGCTGTGAATGTCCATTTTGTGTATGTCTGTTTAAACAACAGCTGTTTCTGAGTTTGTTGTGAAATTGTTAGTCCAGCCGACAGCGGGGGAGAGGGCAAGGGAGGTATTCTGAGATTCCTTACGATGTTGCGGGGAAGTGTCACCCTTTGTAAAAGATGGGTTAGAAAGAACTGCTGCTTGTACCTGTCAGTTTCAAGCTGCAGGTTTCCGACCCAGCAGTGAGTAGTGAAGCCACTGTAGTTGGCTAAGGGCAACATCTTTTGTTTTTAATAGGAAACGACAGAAAGTGGAATGTGGGTAAGTTTATTTCCGCATCGTGTATGTATACGTAATGTGTATACAAATGTGTGGTGGGTTGGAATGTGAAAATATGTTTCTTTCCTGAGTCATAGTGAAAAAATGATACATATTGCCTTCAATATCAGCACATTGTCTTGCCCGAACCAATTAAGAGCATATAAGAAATGACCACTTTATGTGTGATTTTGGAGAGGCTCTTTAATTAAAAACAGTTCATATTTTACCCAGGGAATTCTAAAACACAGGTTAAACATGAACAGAAATTTTTGTAAAAATTGACTGAAGCAGAAGCTTTTTAATAACGGTTGTTACAAGCTCTTTAACGGATGATTGTATTTACCTATCTAATTGGAGCTCCGAGTAAGAGCAGTTAAGTCGATGCCTGCACCTACCGTCATAGATGTTCTAAATCAGTAGTTCACGTTTATACACTTATCATCAAGAGAAAAACGTAACTTAATGGAAAGTTTTAAAAACAAAAGTGATTATTTTGTGAGTAAATGTTAGACTAATGTGATTTTTATAAGTATTTGTTGTGTTGAAGTGCAAACAGAAGGTGGCCAATCCCAGTGGACTAAGTAGCAGCTCTTTTTAAGTATTTGTTACACCCTCAGTTTTTGTGGCTTTGAGCCACAGTTGATTCTATTAATAAAAAAGTTTTGTTTTTTATTCTCTAATGCCAAATTATGCGTGTGCATAAACTCTATAAAGTAGTCATTAACTCCGTGAATATATATATTATATATACATATGTAATATTTATGATTCTTAACTTTGGACAAACTGCTGGCATAGAAAAAGTAGTGCTTTGATAATGATAAGGCTCTTTTTTCATTTCATGAGGACTGTATACTTAAATGATGTGATTTGTTTATTTACAGTTTAAATATCTGCAATGTACTTTGTGTATTCTGCAGAAAAAAGTGACCCTTTTCCTTTTACTTACATTAATAGAGATTGTATTCAGGCATTTGGTATTTTTCTCCGTGAAGTAAAATTACTGCTGATGGCAGGACCCAGTGGCTGCAGTATCATTTTATTTTTGAGGACTATTTTCCATTTCATTCATCATTTCAAGAGAAATAACTACAGTTTGTAAAGCAGGAAAATTGTATTACTTCCAAAGGTTGCGGCTACTACTCCCAAATCTTATTTCGCATCTGATAGTTAGCAGGCAGCAAATAGAACATTTCTGTGGGAGACATATTGGCCAGGTCTGACATTTAGTTATTTTTGGCAGTTGCTGAGACGTGATGTCTGAGATTGCAAACTAGCTGATTTCCTTTGTACTCTTGCTCCCACTCGGCTTGGTTTGGCAGGCTGGTTGGATCAGTATGCCATTGAAGGAAACTGGGTCAGCAAATAGATGATTCTCTGAATTTCTAGCTTTTATGGCACAGCTGATGGGGAAGTAGACCAGAGTTGGAGGGTCCCGAGGTCCTGAGGTGCCTTTTACTGATTTGGCACAGGATGCGGTGTGGGAGGTTACGTTTTCCACGGTAGATGAAGCATTGGCGACAGTTTCTGCAGCTGATGGCATATGCCAGAAAGCAAAGGCTCATCATCTCTGTGGCTGAAGTAACAATTTCTTGAAAACACTTTTATCTAAATTCTGTTTGTGGAATATGTAAAATGTTATATAGTTATTGGTACTGTATTGAGTTCAGTACAAAATAGCACCCTGGGAATTTTGTCACTTTTACCATTATAATCAGCACTTAGATCAATGTATTAAATTTGAAATTGGTTACTGGCATAGTCATCAAATGTGTATTTCCTTTTAAGATTTTGATTGAATTTACCGAAGTAGAACGTGCATATTTACAAAATCCAATTGTGCCTGAATCCTCAGGTTGTGGACCAGGAGTCCTGGGGTCCGCACTTGCCCTCCTTCTTCATCCTCATCAGCACTTTCAGTGCTTTGTTGGTTATTGCTTCTGGGTACACCTTCATATGTCAACACTGTGCCTGGGTAGCAGTTCTGCGTTTATTGCGTTTGTATAAACCAAAACCTGTTGCTGTCGAGTCTGTTCCGACGCTATAGCACAGGGTAGAACTGCCCCACAGAGTTTCCAAGGAGCACCTGATGGATTCGAACTGCTGACCTTTTGGTTAGCAGCCATAGCACTTAACCACTGCGCCACCAGGGTTTCCTGCTTTTGTATCGTAGCTCTTTAATGCAGTGTTGTGCCTTCACACTTCACAGATGGGTACCGTGCTACTGCTCAGCTCATCATTTCCTTTCATTTTCCATCCTTTTTTTTCTTTCTGTCATGTTTGTCTTAGTGCTTAGGCCATCTGTGAACTTTGCTTAGTTTAGTTGTTTCTAAGCTAGCAGTCATTTGTTATAACTCTCTAGTAGAATCCCTTTTGGGCACTTGATACGTCTTCCTAAAGAAAGTATTATTTTACGATACTCTCATTAGGCAACTGAACATTTTTGACTGTTTAAAATGTACTCATTATTCGTATTATGGAAGCCTGAAATGATTGGAAGCTGTCCTGTGACTTCAGTAACGTTTATAAATATAATTTATAATGATACATATCATTACTTTAACAGTTCACACTCATTTGTTTCATAAATAATTCACTCAAAAATATTGATTGCTATGTGTATAAGTTGCCTGTTTGTTCTCATATATTGTTATTTGTCTGTAGTGAATTGATTTATAAAATTTTCTTTGTTTTTCTTAGACAAAATTGAAGAAGCACAGAAAGAACTGAATGGGGCAGAAGTTTCGAAAAAAGGTAAATTAAAATCAACCCCAGTTAATTCTTGCAGAAATCCCTGTACACATACCTTATTATTGGAGCCTTTCTAAACCAATCAGTATAACCATATCACAAAATTAAAAATCACCTTAAACAAATTAATATTTGAACAGTTGTAGACTTTGCTTTGTGAAATGTTTTAACTACATACCACATTCTTTGTTTCCCACGTATTAATATATTGCTAGTAGGAGTATGAAAGATTGCTGCAGCTCTTTTAAGGTCCTGTTTGAAATACTGTGCAATAACAATGAAAGCACCATATAAAGAATATAGATGGGTTTGGGTTCACCTGTGTGTGTACATATGTGTGTGTGTATGTGGTACGGTATTTTTTTGTAGTGAGAAAACCTGAAAACAACTAAAACAACCTGAATGCCAACCAGTGGAAGAAAAATTGAATAAATTGTACTCCATTCATATTTTGGAATATTATGCAGCTGTAAAAACAAACAAACAAACAAACTTTGTATCAATTTATTATTAATTGGGAAAAATGAAATTGCAATGTCACTTATAAAATATCCCTTTTTTTGTTGTTAAATAACAAAGCCACACATACATGTGTAAGTTTATATGGGATTGAACAAAGTTTGGAAGGATTTATACACAAATGTGTTTACAGTGCTGGGAGAAAGATGAGGTTGAGATGGTTAACTTTTGCCTATGTGTCTTTTTGCTGTTTCACTGGTTACAACAGATATAAGTTTATGTTAAAAATAAATACGTTAAAGAAAAAGAAGGATTTTCATGATAGAAAGCCTACTGATTATTTTTACAGGTGATATAAAAAATGCATTAGATGTATATAACAACACATGAAGGGAGGGAAGGGTAGCGAGTTGGATAGTGTTCCAGCACTTTCTGTTAATGAGTAAAATTGATTTTCCTTTTAATGCTGTGGGAAAATAGTTAAAGTTCTCTTAATGGCATTTATCTTTGATTTATTGTTTATTTTTCAATGTTATATCTTCTAATTACAGTGCAATATTTTGGCAGAGTAATTAAGCCAAGTAGGATTCTGATTGAAAGATACATATATAGAGATAGATATAGATATATATGTATATATCTTTTTAATCTAGTTAGATTACTGACTAGGTTTCTTTAAGGGAACTGATTCTCGCTCTCCGTGTTCTTCATTCTGTGGAGCTGCCTGTGAAGACTCCAGGGTTGTTTTGGGCTGGTCTTAATAGCTACACTGTGGTATGCAGCTACTCTAAAGTGTCTTCCTTCTCTCCCCCCTCTCCCTTTTCCATGGGAACTCTGGAAGATCTATTTCACATCTGACCCTTTAATGACACTCTTGCAGAAAAGCAAAGTCTAAAGAGAGTAGAGAAGTTTTTGCAGACATGTTTCCCTTTGGAAGGCTGAAGATCCCTGCCCCAGATTGCAGTAGGCATAAAGCATCTCAGACGTTCAGGCTCTAGGACGCCTTACTTTGTAAACTTCATTTGTCGTCCTCAACCTTTTTCAAATCTGGTAATGGTTTAGAGCTTCTTCAAGTAGCAAACTAAAATTGTACTTGTCTTCTTTTTTCCTTCTTTCTTACCCCTATGGCAAAGAGTGTAAAGAATAGTGAATTAAATGCCTGATAGGAAGGAGGAAAGGAAACAAAGGTTCTAGAAAAAGAAATTGGATAATGAGGTTCAGAATAATTGAGTGGGCTACATTTGGCAGGCTACGCTTGTTTAAGACTGAGGATGAATACCAAGTAAGTATTATTCTGCGCAGTTCACTGCTTAGAATTACTACTTCGCTTTCATTTTTACACCCAAATTCTGGGCAGATTAAAAAGAAAATAGTTTTCTTCTCAAATGTAAGTAAGAAATAGTATCAGTTCTTCTTTAACAACCTGAGGTAAAGTCTTTGAGTAATAGAGGTGTTGAGATTTCTCACATCTTTTCTTGCTGAGTTGTGTATTCTATTAAAGGACATTCATTTCTTCCTTCCACAAATATACTTCAGAAGAGACGGGGTCATTTCTTGTTTTTGTTGGTCACTATGGGTCATATATGAGAGATGACTTTTTCACTGTTTTGTCTGACCTGCTTTTGGTTTTCTCCCCCTGAAAATTTGACCAAATCTGGCTTTTTTCTATCATGCGAAAGGTTCTAAGACTTTTTCTGCATTGAAAATTCTGTCGTCCTTAACTCATTTTAGGTCCTTTCTACTCCCTCTCTCCTTTTTTTTTTAATTGTTAGGACAAGTAACTAATTTATTTTCAGAAACATCTAGCATAATGGCAGGCTCTTTGAAAAAATACTGCTCATCGATGGATTAAAAAATATCTTTCCTGTTTTCTAACATTTTAAGGAACAGTTAATCTGTTTAGTGTTAATATAGAGGCATAAAAATTGACTTTTCCCATCATACACCAGTAGCATAAAGAAGTACATTAAATTGTGTTAATGTACGTATCCTTTCTCTCTGCTTATGAATTAAAATCAAATAACTTTAATTTGATTTATTTTGATTTTAATCAATTTGTGGATAAATAAACAGCAGCAGCATTTGCACAGTTTTCCTTAATGTCATTGTCTTAACATGCATTGTGTTTGACGCTGTTTCTATAATTATTGAGGGAGATGTGAATAAAATAAATCATCACTGTCACAGACATGGAATAGGTATGGAATACACTGGGAAGAAATAAATAGATCAGTTAATTAGGAGAACTTTTGCAGATTGTCTCTTGAATAAGCTTTAATTTTTAATATGTTTAACATTATTATATAATATTTGATGTATACATAACAGATTATGCAGCGTAAGAATTCCGTGATTATCTTTGATTCCAACACCCAGTTTAAGAGCTAGAACATTCCCGGTGCTGTTGTATCTACCCGCATGCTCGCCCCTGTTTCATCCTGCCGTCTCCTTGACAGAAGTATTGCCCTCAGTTTTCTGTTCTGCATTTCAGTGCTTTAAAAAATAACTATATAAGTATTTATCCCCAAATAATATACTTCTTTATTTTGCCTGATTTTGAGCTTTAAAAAATGAATTATGTTATCGTCTTCTGCAGCTTTTGTTAGTCAGCATTGTTCCTAAGATCCATGCTGTTACTTGCAGCTATTTGTTTTCACAGCTGTAATAATAGTGTGTGAACTGATTTGTTGGTCCACACTTCTATTGATGGAATTGAGTTATTTCAACTTGTTTTTGCTGTCACAAACAATGCAGTTATGAGTATTCTCATATCCTGGTCCACATGCCTGAGTTTTCTAAGATATGTATTTAAAAAAAAAAAAAAGTTGCCGTCGAATCAGTTCAGACTCATGGCAGTCCCAGGTGTGTCGGAGTAGAACAGTGCTCCATCGGGTTTTCAATGGCAGATGTTTCCGAAGTAGATTATCAGGCTTTTCTTCTGAGGTGCCTCTGGGTGGACTTGAACTTCCAACCTTTGGGTTAGCAGCCCAGGCGTTAACCATTGGCACCACCCAGGGACTCCTAAGGCATATATATAAGGAATGTGAATGTTCAGCGTTATGAGATACGCTAAGTGGGTTTCCAAAGTGGTCGTATCAGTGTACACTCCCCCCGTCAGTGTCACTCTGCGCTCTCCAATACTTGGTATTGTCAGTCTTTTTAATTTTTGACAATCTAATGGGTATAATACGGTATTTTGTTCTGCTCTTGATTTATGTTTCCTTGATTACTGATAGTGTCAAGCATCTCATCATTTATATTCTACCTTCTTGAAATGCTTGCAGCTTTTTTTTTATTGAGCTGTTTGTCTATTTCTTAATATATTCAGGATAACACTTTATCTGTTTTATGTTTAATTTTTGTTTTTTTGGCTTAATTTTTCAGTCTGTGCCTTTTCATAAAGAGAAGTTCTCGATTTTAACATTGTCAGCCTACTAATCTCTTTCTTTTAGGTTAATTTTTTTTCCCCTAATTGTTGTTGATGCTTTGTTTTTTTGGTTTGCTTTTTGCCTTAAGAAATTCTCCCCTGCCACAATGTCTTATGTGTGGTTTTTCTCCTATATTTTCTTCTAAAAGTTTGTCTTTCACATTTCTGAATAAAAATCTATCTGGAGTTGATATTTTTTAAAATACACTGTGAGTTAGGGTTCCAGTTTCATTTTTTTTCCCGAAATGTATAACCATTTGTTCTTGCAACGTTTGTTGAGTGGATTCTTTCTTTACTGTCTTATATTAATTTTTCATATACGTACAGGTTTGTTTCTGAGCTCTGTTTTCTGTTCTGTTAGTCTGTTTGTCAATCCCTTACCAATATCACAATGTATTAATTACTGTACCTTATAGGAGCCCATGGGTGGCGCAAATGGTTAAGCCCCAGACTACTAACCAGAAGGCTGGCGGTTCAAACCCACTCTTCAGCGCCTTGGAAGACAGACCTGACGATCTGCTTCCGAACGATCACAGCCTTGAAACCTCATGGAGCACAGTTCTACTCTGCACACATGGGGTCTCCGTGAGCTGAGATTGATGCAGTGTCAACTAACAACAACATATGTTGATATACAGCACGGCAAATTTCCTCAGGTTATTCTTTTGCAGGAGTGTTTGGACTATTTCTAGGTTTTTGCTCATCCATTTAAATTTTAAAATTTAAAATCCATTTAAAATTTAAAAACTTGCTGGAATTGCATTGCTTGGGATTGTATCTAATTTGGGGCAAACTGACCATCTTCACTATCTTCAGGCTTCCTATCCATGAAGATGGTATATTTTTGATACTTGTGTTTTCTTTAATGTCTTGTAATTTTCTCTGTATGGGTCTTGTGCATATTTTGTTTGATTTATTTCTTAAAACTTAATTTTTTTCTGATTTCATTGATTTGTTTTCTCTTGTAAAAAAATGTTTACTCTGTTGTTAAAAAAAAAAATGCCGTCACTTTGATTTGACTGTTGCTAGCAAATAAAAATGTAATCTATTTTTGCATATTGATCTCATATCCAACTATCTGACTAAACTGTTATTCATTCTGAAAATTTGTCTGCAT